GGGAGGAAGTCCGAAGTTAAGTATCCAAGTCCCAAAGCACAGCTCGATGACCGGCACTGCACATAGTGTTAGTGACACTTGAGCCGAGTTACGTGAAACCTGAGCCACCGGCCTCAAATACGCTGGTTTCTGAACTGCGGGAGTTGAGCAAGCAGGTGCTTGGAGCTCCACACCTGAGACCGCCCCTATAAAGTATGTACAAAGCCATCAGGGAAATGGCCACACTGAGGTCGTTTTAATGCCCACCTAAGCACACACCAGGGGTTTTCCAAGATTATGGCGAAGAGCAATACTCCTTCCTTATTGACAAATATTCAAGCCTGGTTGAATCTATGTACCTCTCCCTTGTTCCCCCAACTTTCCCTCCTAGCCCCGTGCAAACGTTTAAAAGCAAAAAATAAAGTCCTAACCAACATCTCCCTGGTTCAAGGATGTTGATTGCGCTCTGGAACTTGCGGCGGTGGTTGCTTGTTTTGTTCGGTTTTGGTTTTTTTGCTTGGGAGCAAAGCAATTTGAAATATATCTGTAGTCAGCACAGATCTTACAGGTAAATAGGGCAGGTAGTGTACTTAGTCACAAGTTGGAAGGTTTCGTTCAGGTATATAATTAGATGGTTCTTAGTATTCATTAAAAAAAAAAATCTCAATCAAAGAAGGCTTGGATGAATGAGGAAGCGTATGATTGAGTCAGTCCCATTCTGGGCACCTAAGACAACTCAAGTATTAAAATTCATAGAAATTAGCCTGATAGAAAGTGTAAGTTATTTGCATTGTATCTACACCATGCCAAAACATCTAGACAAAGTAAGGTGTCAGTACATTTGGAGACATCAGAGTATTGATTGATTTTGTCACCTTTGAGCTAAATGGGATCTTGCAAATAGCTGAGGGCTGTTTATTCCACGCAGGAACGAAAAAAGTTCATTCATGCAATAAATATCGATCCCCTGCACCATACTATGTGCACAACGCTGTACTTATGTAGAAATCCAGGAAGTATGCTTCCCACTCTCAAAGAGTTTATGAATTAAGTCAGATCTGTGTACACAATCCAATAAATAACTATTTATTGACCACTATTTTTTGGGTGCTGAGTACTATGCTTCACCTGACCCCATAACCCTTCAAAATAATATATCCTCTCACTTGATCTTCACTGCGACCCTCTGAGGTTGCTCATTTACCAATGAGGAAATTGAACCTTAGAAGTAAATCACTCAACATCACACACCTAGAAAGTGATAGAGCAAGGATTTAAATGTCAGATTTCAAAAACCATGCCATTGTGCTATACTGCCTCTCAAAACCATGACACGATAGCAAGGTTAGCGATGGATAAAAGATGGTGACATTAAACAATTTTTCATTGTCATGGAAAGATTGAGGAACACTAAAATATATTACCAAGAAAAGATTTTTTTTTAAAAAACCTCCTTAAAAAGAGATTTTATGAAATGGATCAGCTGTCTAGAATGGTTAGCAGCAGCCTAAGGACAAAAGAGATGGGTTAACTGTTCTGTGATATGTGATCTCATCCTCTCAAACCTCATCATCACTGTTAGAACTATCTTCCTATTTGAAGCAAATGATTATTCCGTATCCACTACCAGTGGAGTAAAAAAAAAAAAACATTAATTTTTTTGGTCTATGTTGCAGAAGAGAAAGCAGATTCATTTTTTAAAAAATGCTCCACAATCACTGCTACACTGTTAAGGTGTTTTGTTTTGTTTTGTACTTCATCCTTAACTCTCAGAGCCTACTTTTTAACTTGTCTGCAACTGGGTCAAACACAATATCAGACAATAGGTACTGATTTCCTCACCACTCCACTATGAAGTAACCACTTCTAGAGTAGAAAACCAGCGCCATTCAATGATATCACACAACAGTTTAGCAAAGGAAGCAAAGTAGGATACCGTGGATGGCTGCTTCTGCTAGGGGGATTTAGGAAAGCAGAATGTAATCTCCCAATTTAGAATTTGGCCAGTAGACAAGAGTCTAACGCCCCTACTCTTGTGAAAATAGCAAGGAATCTTTAATAAGCACCATAATCATGTCCTTATTTCTGCATTTCATCTAAAAGACACAGCACTCTCATGGCTATAGTACCAGGCTAAGGGACTGATGCAATGGGAAACCCTAAGACAAGGACATCCCAGCTGAATTACAAAAATAGCTTTCCCCCCAAGGATTTGAAATGCCAATTTCAAACCTCACAAGCGTAAAGAAAATAGACAATCCCAAACCTGATCGTTGCAGAAAACACACCGTTACCTGACCACCGGGAGTTACTATCTGAAGTACTTTGTTGTAAGGGGAAAAAACACTCTAACCTTTTTCTGTGTTAACTTCTCCTGAGCCTGGCTCATCTCCCATGCTAACCTTGAGCCTCAACATGCTTTGCAAATCCCCTGGCAAGTAGTGGTGGTGGTGGTAATGCCTCCTTTTAGCCTTTGAGGAAATGCCTCTCCTGGCCCTGTTTTCTTGCAAAGTCACCAGCATAGAAACAAACATATTTCATTCAAGCGTAAATGAAATCTACAGATCAAATTCTGTGAAAATGGTTTTTTGGTTGCTTTCTTGCCTGTTTGTTTGTTTTTACATCTAAGCAAAGTGCACACTAGATGGGAAAACTGACCTCACTCAGGATTCTCTTGACTTGAAGTGTAAAGGTCGAAGTGTGATAGAGCATATGTGTTTCTACCCACCACTGATACTGGAACGAAGTGATAATACCCTCCAGAGGAAACTTTAAGGTGTCTTCTGCTTTTTATGACCAACTGTCAAGCTGGAGGTAAAGATTCCATGTTTCTTTTAAATAAAAAAAAATGATAAACAGGCCATTATCTCTTTGTCAACAAGGCACATTCAAACTGTAAGCATTTCTGCCTGTACATCTGCCTCTAAATTGCTATTAGCTAACTCTTGTCAAATGTTTTATTATACAAGTGTTAAAAACCTCTTGAACAAAGGTTATGTACATTATTTGCTACGTGGGAAAACTCAAAATTGAGTTTAACCCAATAGTTACTGATTATGTTATCATTACCTCAGTGTATCCACATGTTTACCAATACAGTCATTTTTTAATTTCAGAAAATAGACAATCATTATAATTTGATCAGGTAGTAAATACTGGTTAATGTCACAAAATTATTTCTTAGGTTTCTGGGGGTGTGGGTGGGACGAAGAATGTTCCCATGGTTCAATGAAAAAAAAAAACTTCCATTTATGCCCAAACAAGTGTTATTTTTATCCTCTGTCATCAAACTTTCTCAACTGTCATCCTTGAACAACTGCAGAATGTAATATTATTAGCTACCACTTTGATCTAACCTTGTATACATGTAACACATGGTTGTGGTGGTGGAGGTGGTGATTAGTTCCCTTTTATAGTTGAATGAATATGTGAATAAATACTGGGATTCTTTACCCACTTTTCAATTCAAATTGATAAATCCCATTTTGTCCTCTTCATGACAAAACAGATCTTCCCTCCTGGGTCCTTTCTTTATCCCATGAACACATCAAAGAGCCAAAGGACCAGGATCTACTTTGGACCGTTTTCTAGTTGTTTCATTTGTATCTTCTATCGTCAACTGGAGTGCAAACTTGTTGAATGTTGTTTTGCTAGCTATTTCCTTGAGACAAAGTTATATAAACTCCTTAATGACATTTAGATATGCAATATCTACACTGAATGTGGAAGAATTAACAACACTAGCTAGTTGTAGATTGGAGAGGGAAGCTTTTTAGGGAGGAGATGATCAAAAAGAGTAATATTTGGGTAGTGAGAGGAGTCACATGCAACTAAAACATGAAGGTGTCGACCATAGTTTGGACAATCTTTACGTGACTATCTTTTCTCTCCTCCTTAAAGACTTCATCTACTCTTATTTAGGCATACAATGGGGTATGAAAATGCATATACCACAGCTGTGCCCAACCTCTAAATTCAATCATAAACATACAGTTATTTTTCTATAACTGCACTCATCATGTTCTGGAACACCTCTTCCAGTTGCCTGAAGGCACAGTTATGGATGGGTGAGGAGGAACGTTGCCAATTAAAATATAAAAATATGTTCTGGGGCACCTGGCTGGCTCAGTCGGTTAAGCATCCAACCCCGGCTCAGGTCATGATCTCATGGTTGGTGAGTTTGAGCCCTGCGTCGGGCTCTGTGCTGACAGCTCAGAGCCTGGAGCCTGCTTGGGATTCTGTGTCTCCCTCGCTCTCTGCCCCTAGTGCTCTGTCTCTCTCGTTCTCAAAAATAAATACACATAAAAAATATTTTTAAAAATGTAGCTTCTGAATTAAAAGTCCTTTCTGTGCAAATATTTGATTTAAAGTTAAGGCTCACTCATGGCACCGAGGAGGGGGAAATCTGAGCTCCGTAACCTTGACT